CATTTAGTGCATCACAAACGTTTTACCACATTATTAAATTATTCCTTGAAACATTCTGAACAGCTGCATTTGCAATCCATCTTATAAAAATATCTTATTTTATTTGTCCATTCTCCAAATGTTAAACATCCAAACTGTTGGCAATTTTTTATTTCTTGTGAATTTTGTTAATAATCCTGTTTCGGTATTTTGTAAATAATCCTAGAAGGATCATAATTCCGTGAGCTCACCTTGTTATTTCCTTAAAGAGTATCTGAAAAGGTGGGGTACTCGTCAAAGGATAGGACCTTCTTATCGAGATACCTTTATTCCACCTTTTCTAGCACTGATATTATCAACCAAAACATTTGCCAGTTTCTTAGAGGAAAAAAGGCAGAATCTTATTTTCATTTACACTTCTTTGCATCATGACAAGGTGGGAGTTTTTTAGCAGTGGATCTGGTGTCAGAGCAGAGCCCAAGGACCCTGCCACCTCATTCACTGTATTGGTCTTGTCACTTGCCACTGTGTGAATGTATTGTTTATTCATTCTTTCTTTGAACAAAAATCAAGGCCCCGCTGTGTGCCAGCTTCTGTTCTAAGCACTTTGGGATTCAGCAGTGAACAGACTAGAGTCTCACCTTCATGACATTTATTTTCTGTTAGGATGAGAAAGACATTTAAGAAATGAGTATGTGGTGGACCAGAGAGCAGTAAGTGTAACAGGACCCAGCAGGGAAAGGGAAGAGGGGAGGTAGAGTGCGGCTCAGAAATGTTTTAAAACCCTGGAGGAAGTGTGTGAACAGCAAGTGCAAAGGCCCTGAGGCAGGAATGTGCTTGCTGTGTTCAAAGCAAAGCAGGGGGCCTGGTGGTTCTGATCAGAATGAGCCAAGGAACAGGTCACAGAAGTGAGATCAGAGAGCGTTGTGGGTGGACTGGGAGGGGACCGTTGTGAAGCTCTGCCTGTTACTCTGAGCAATATGTGAAGCCATTTTAGAATCCTGCTTGATCTCACTTGCACTTCAAAACTGTAATTCTCAGAGGAAAATGACAATGGTTTTTTTATTATGGCTCTGCCCTCACTTACCCCTCCATCCAGAGAACAAGTGTTAATACTTGTGTGTGCGAATACTTTAAAAAGATCGTCCTTGGAGGAAAATGACTGCAGGTGTGAGCAGTGAGATGTATAGTAATCTGTGCAAAACATGATGGTGGCTTGGACCAGGAGGTGAGGATGGAGGGGGTCAACTTGCAAATATATACTGAAAGCAGAGCTGTTGGGATTTGTTTGCGGTTTGGATATGGGTGTAGAAAGTACAGGTGACTCCAGGCCTAAGCTACAGGAAGGACAATTTCTATTTGTTGAGACAGAGACCTTGCGAGGACCATGTTCTTCAGTTGATGGCTCAAGGGTAGAGAAGAAAGAATTTTCCTTTATGAAACTTGGAGGTTCTCTGTTGCTAGGGGGGCCACTCTTACCCAAGGTTATCTTTGAGTCAGCCATACCATTCTCTATGCCTTTTATAATGCTGTAACAAGCAGGCTTTGTGATGTAATGGCTCAGTAGAGACAGAGCTCTCACTCAGTAACAATCTGAGTAGGTATCGCTGATTTATTTGTGTATTACTAGACCTAGCTATACTATTATAATTATATCAAGGTTATGGCATATTAATATTTGACAAGTCAAAAACTTCATTGCTGACCTGTTCTGAGAATTTCATGGCAATTCTCACATGTTTATTTTCCTTTATCAACTTAAATATCAATATATCTAATGATTCCCCCAAATATCCATTGAGATCCTTATTAGAATTTTATTGTATGTATGATTTGAGAAAGGTTTTATTTTTTGAAATGAAGTCTTCACATCCACGAACATAGTATGTCTCTCTTTATTCCCATCTTGCTTGAAAAATGTTCAATAGAATATGTATAGCTTTCTTTGTATAGGTCTTATGCCTTTATATAAGATTTATTCCAAGGTATTTAATAGGTTGTCATTAATGTAAATGTGAATTTCTTTCACAAGACACATTCTAACTGATTATAATTACTGTAAAAAATGGTATTGCTTGTTAGTATTTTGGTTTGAATCCAGCCACTTACCTAATTGTCTTAAGATTTTCTAGTTGTAAAGTCATATCCACAAATAATGGTGAATCTTGTTTTCCAACATTTATACTGTTTATTTCACTTCTTGTCTTAGTTCAAATGCTGGAGCCTCTAAAAATGTGAACAGTAGAACTGACAGTGAGCTTGCCTATCCCATTTGTGACTTTAATGGAAAAGCTTTAACATTTCACCTGTTTAATATATTTGCAGGTAGTGTCTGACTAATACTTATACAAAGGATATTCATTTTATTTCCACATAGTTTATTCATTCTGTTCTATACCATTCTTATCAGGAATAGTTGTTGAATTTTTTTAAATGCCTTTTTGCCGTCTGTTGATATGTGACCTGCTCTAAGGAAATGAAATATTTGCTAAATCTTGGAGGGCTCTTATACTTGAAATAAACCCTAGATGATGTTGGGTTGTCATTTTAAAGTACAGTGCTAAATATTTCTAAGGGTCTTTAAAAATTATTTAATGTGTCTGTGCATTAATGGCCATAAATTAGATTGTTTTATATTTTTCCTTTCAAGTGGTTTTTTATCATATTTTGGTTTTTGGGCAATGCACAATGAATTGGAATACTCTGTCATCCGTCTTTGTATTCTGGAATAATTTGACTAATAAAAATTACCTACTTTTTAAAAGTTAGATACAGCTTGCCCTTAAAATCAGCCAGTCTTGGCACTTTTTAAATAATAGATAATAGATCTTTTAACAGCTTTTTCAGGGTTTTTTTTTTATGGTTACCTGTCTATTCAGGCCTAAATCCTAAATTAAATTTAGTAATCTACATCATGCTAGAAAAGTATTCAATTTCCTCTGCAGCCTAAAGCATATTAACCTAAGGCTACATATTCTCCATTGTCAGTATTCTTCCAACTCTGTTGTTAGAGTAACAGTGTTTCCAATTTGTTTTGCGTGTTAACGCTTTGAGCGAGCGCTCAGGTGCACCATCTCCTGTGAGCCTTGATTCCTCCTGGACGGGTGAGGAGCCTGGGGAGAGTGGGGAGGGCCCAGTGCCGGTCCCCCAGACCCGGCGCCCCGCCTTCCCGTGCTGGGCTTGGTCACCCGTGTTCTCTCCAGTAACGTTCACTAGGACCCACGGTCCTCAGGCCCCAAAGGGGTGACAAGGGTAAGGGGGGACTTTGACCATGACTCTCCATCTGGGAGAGGTTCCTCTATGGATGGAATGCCAGCACCCCTTGGGATGTTTAGGGAAATACCCATGTGTTGGCTCTAGGAGGTGCACTTCCAACTGCTTGAAAACATTATGCGTCAGTAGTGTCACTTTCATTTTCTAGAATGAAAAAAGAAAGTCATTCATTTGCTTTGTAAATGGTTCTAAAATGGACCTATTTAAAAACTGCTGTTGACCTTTGGGTGTCAAGGGTGTGATGGACTGTGGTTCGAACACAACTGTGCTTATTCACATTTTTTTTTGGATATTCCTAACCGCATCCTATGTTAACACAATTTCATAAAGTAACATTACCCTCTGTCCTGAAGGATAGTAACATATAATACATATATTGCTATGAAATTGCTAAAAATGAACCATGACCAAGTTTTAAAACTAGTTGGGGGGCTTAGATGTGATAATCTAGTAAAGGTCTTAGCACAGTACGGGTGCACTGTAAGAGCTGTCACCGCTAACAGTCCCCATGGGTTTTGATGTGAGGAAAGCCGGCATACCTCGGGATGCGCCCCGGGGTAGGGACAGTGTCCGTGTGCCATCAGGGTTCTCGCAGAGCCCAGGCTGCCCCCCCATCCCGCAGCCCCACCCCTTCCTCACACTCCAGGGGCCAGCCTGCTGACACAGCGCCCACAGGTCCGGTTGGGGACCTTTCTCAATTCACAGTAAGTAGATGGACGCCGGGGCTCTTGCCGCGCACCTGCTCCTCCCCGGGCCCCTGGCCTCTGCAGGAGGCTCAGGACGCGTCTCCTTCCTCCAGCTTTCGCTCTGAGCTTGTCTCCCAAGGCTGACTGCACCACGGAGCTCACCCTCTCCCCCTGACTGGCCCCAGGATAAACACAGACACCCTTGTCACCTTCAGGGTCCGCTCAGTGACGGCTAGGTGACCTCCTTGCCCGCTGTTCCCGCTGCCCCGCCTGTCCACCTCAGCGATCACCAGCAGGTGCCGAGCAAAGGCTGCAGTCCTCCCCCCGCCCCTCCGGCTCCCTTTGCCCCAAGCCCTCGTGCAGCACGTGAGCCTTAACACACAGTACGCAGGGGCTTCTGTTACCCCGTTTCTCCTGGCGGCCGTTCTCCTCCCCGCAGAAAGCTGTCCCTGAGCCCAGGCTGAGACTCCGCCCTCCTCCAGGCTCCCAAGCCCCTTGGACAGTGTCATGAGGCCCTGAAAGTGCCTCCCAACACCCAGGCGCCCCCTGACCAAGGAGAGGATCAGAACAGGAACCCCTGGCCAGCAGCCAGCGCCACTTAGGGAAGCACTTAGCCGCCAGCAGTGCTGCAGCTGGACGGGTACCAGCCATCCGAACCTGCCTTTCAGACTCTAGCTGCTCTGAGTACGAATCGGCTGACCTCCAGAAATGAGAGCAGGCCAGACACCCCTCTGCAGACCCCTTCCCACTCAGCACAGGCACTCCCTCACCCGAAAACCAGACTGAGGGCTGAACGGGAATGAAAGGTGCCCCCTCCCTGGCCTGGCCCACTTGCTGCCCCGTGGGGGGCACTGACTCACTTCTGCTCCATCTTCAGGTAAATCTGAATGGCTGCCTGGCTCCTGTTCCCGACCTGCATCTGGGCTGCGTCTGTCTCCTGACTCAACTCCCTCGCTAAGCTGGGCCTCCCGGGACCAGCCGTGGGCAGTGAGCCCAGAACCAAGAAGTGATTTATTATTTATTAAACATATCAATTTTTCCATTCTGTTTTTCCCAGACTGCTTCCGAGTGGGCTGAGAAAATGCCCAAAGGCCCGCCACCCATGTCTCCCAAGGAAACGGCCAACCAAGAGGTCCTGCTGCGGGTCCACAAAGCAGTGGCTTCCCACTCCCGTGCCATCGCCCACAAGTTTGAGCACTTCGACACCATGCAAACCAACACGGCATCCAGGGATGAGTTCAGGGCCATCTGCACTCGCCACATCCAAATTCTCACCGACGAGCAGGTAGGAAACATGTTGGTTCATCATCCTGAGCAGTGCTGTACGAGCATCCGGCCTTTGTGCTTCACACTCTGGACACCCCAGACTATAAAGAGTTCAGACTATCCTCTATTTTAAAAATACTTGGAGATTTGGGGGGTGTTTGTTGTTATTTTGTTTGAAATCTCACTGCAGACTCCCGGGGGACTTCTGTTTATGTGATGAGTGTGAATTGCCCATTTCAACCACGGTGCAGATAATGTCACTTTTTTTTTTT